TTGCTTTTCGGGAACGAAGGCTTTTCTTCGCAGGTTTTCGACCGTTTCACTTCGTTTTTTCGCCATTTTCCACTATATAGCGCCCTGCTAGCATTTTAGGCTGAGTACCAAATTATCGTGCCAACTGCCTTTGAAAAATTCGCGGCCATCTTACAGGTAGACTTCTCTGGTGAACAAGGTGTAGTCGCTTTCGCTGGACGCGTCAGGGGGACTGCTTTGGAGTCTCGCCCGAGGAGCAGGGCAGCATCAAGGGATGAGATCTCCCCGTTTCCTTCCTTTTTGACCATCTAACTCGGACATTCTAGCTGCTGGGATGTTCTGAGCCGTCAAGTAAAAGGTAGTCTTCCCAGTGTAAAGGTAGTAAAGTTGCTCGGAACGCACTAAATGCGCGATCGAGTGCAGGTTGAGACAAAATTTTTGCCCCTAACTCAGTGTTTTTCTCGTAACTTTCGCGCCGCAAACTGCTGCGATAAACACTTTATCACTTTGAATATCGGAATACGTCGTCTTTCCAGGCACAGTTTGCCTTGGGAGGGGCATGTTGCACTTTCGCTGCTTTCTTTTCTCTAGTTCATGTTGACTAGTTGGTCCCATTTTGGTGAAGAAATCGTGAAAGTGAGCACTTTGGTCAGAAGAGTTCACACATTTCCACAAGGTTGTACAGGCTTGCTGAGTACCACTTCTTGCCCCAACCAAGCGGAATTGCGCCTATTCCCAGTATACTTTCATTTTCAGTTTTTTGGTAGCTTTGCGACGTGATTAGTGGTCAATTTCTTACAAGGATTTTCATTTTCAGAGTTTTTCACAATTTATCACACGCACAGCTTATGGACACTCACTCACCATTCTTCTCATAATCACGATTTTGTTCCTATGTGGGATCGTGAACACGGTATTGTCTACTTATGGCTTATTTTTGATTGTTTTTATTTGCTTTACTTCTTAATGTTCGTAGTTCCGAAGACAAACCAACACTCACTTCATTGATTCCTGGTCCTTGTCGTGTCCGAGGTGAGCTGGCTCACAGCGCAGAAACGAGGCCGAAGGGTAGTGATACCCAGGCCCCGTCTCCCGACTCCGCCCACCAGCCAGGCGCGCTACGCCCCCCCCCCTTCTCCTCTGGTTGTTCTCTGCCTCTTACCGCATGGTCGCTGCAGGGTGTTGGTATCGAAGCCAGTGCTGCACATTGAGAATAACGCAGGCGGAATATGGACACGGCGCCAGGGTATCACTACCTTGCAGCCTTGTTCCTGCGCGCGTTTGAGCGGTGAAAGGGCAGCTGCAGACCCATCACCTCCCACATGGCGAGCACCAGTAACACAGAGATGGGTGGCTGTGAGCTGGAGGGGGGAGGGCGGGGAGGTTGGCACGGCGCCTGCCGTTTTCCAGCACTTATTGTCGCTTGCTGACTTCAGCAATTGCTGGAGAACGTGCTGCGCCAAGCCTGCCACCACCTGACACGCCCAGCATTCTCGGCGAAAAAGAATGTACCGTTAGTACGGAAGTTTTCTCATGAAATGCATCTAGTTTGAAGTATGTGCTTTTTTAGTTCTCATGTCCACAGCCGGAACAAGCTGACGTATGTCAGACGGTCCACTTCTCAGCGTTCTCGTTCGCCATGTGGATTCTGACGACAGCGGTCTTTATTCGATTCTCGTCTATCTACCTTCTCGGTGTGCTCACGTTTGCCGTTTTCATCTACACGATTCAAATATTCCTCACACATCCGCCGATTGGACCAAAAGAGTGAGTGCTAAAGAATGTTTGTTCATACTTTTTCTTTCGGTTCTGCTCTTTCTTTTTTTTCTAGTAAACTACAAGATAGGTGAGAAATGAGTGAGAGTTTTCTCATTTGGTTTGCGCTTACTTTACCATGCATCTATTCCCTGTGCCATGCCTTGAATGTAGTGGGCACGATTGCTAGGGACGAGCGGTTATTGCCGGCGTCATTGATGGAAGGACTGCGAGAGGGCGTTTGGCCACACCCCACTCAGCCCTTCCACCAATGACACTGGCGACAACAGCCCGCCCCCAGCGATCGTGCCGGCTACCTTGAAAGAGTCTTACCTATCACGCTACAAGTAACATAAATTGTGATGAGGAGATTATTTAAAGGTCATTCCATGCTTTGACATGCATCTGGCAGCAACCAGTACCCACTTAGAGGTTCCATTTTACGTGGTCCGTGCACCCTCAAAGACAATGTACACTCACCTCCGAGTACTGTCCTTGCCATGTGCGAGGTGAAGGGGTTCGCAGCTGCAGAAGCGTGCCCTTTAGTCCGTCCACGGAAAAGAGGTTGTAGGGGTGGTACCTGAGTGTCGCCTCCCGACTCTGCCCGCACTGCCGCATGGCCAGCCACACGCCAAACCATAACCAAGCGCGCTACTTGTCCGCGCCCTTTATATTCCGAATTGTGCTTTTTCGCAGAGTGCGTGTTCGATGCGGGATTCTGGTATCGACGCAAGGGCTGCAAATAGAGGACAGCGTGGGCGGGATATGGGGACGGCTTCCGGGTACCACTGCCCTCCCCGTTCGCGTGGTTTGCACAGAGATGTGGCAGACTACTGTAGCTCCGGGCCCATTCGCCTCGCGTATGGAAAGGATCACGATCCACGGAGGTGAGTGTGCAATTTCCTTTTGGAAGCTGAGCATTTTGACTTATCTGGTCTTGATTGTGTCCCTCTAGAAAAGCTTTTTCTACC